TCTATTTTTTTACTAAGCACAAAACCTACCATCTCTCTTATTCTATATACAAGGAATGAATTATAATCAAAGCTGTGTTCTTATCAATATCACTTGGTGCCTTGAGGCTTGGACTTGTTTCTTAAATCTGGAGTGAAAATTTAGTCAAATTCACAAAAGATTGAGATAGTCTTTTATGGTATTTCAATTGTGCTAGAGCATAACCCAGCAATGCTGACTGAAATCACAGGCGGCCCAAGCTCCAGCTGTGAGATGATCATCTTGCGCAATAACAGTCATGACGGAATTATAAGAGTTTGTATGGGCATATTTACGACCGCTCTAAGGAATAAAAAATACATCAAATTCTCAAAAAAAAAAAACCTCACCTTACTTCCAGTGTGTCGCTTGTTATCTGACCGCTTACTTTGATGAAAAGAGCCCATTTAAGCGAGTTGTTTATTTCGAGGTTTTCAACATACATAAGAAAAGCCGTTCGGAAATGGAGTGTTCAGCCTTGGGCTTTTCTTATGAACATTGAAAACCTCGAAATGGACAACTCGCTAAAATGCGTTCTTTTCATCAAAGTAAGCGGTCATATAACAAGCGATACGTTGTGAAAGTAAGGTGAGGTATTTTTTTTGAGAATTTGACATATTATTTTATACCTTAGAGTGGTCGTAAATATTCCCATACAAACTCTTATAATTCTGCCATGACTGTTATTGCGCAAGATGATCATCTAACAGCTGGAGCTTGAGCCGCCTGTGACTGAAATTACAAAAAAACATTCTTAAAGAAAAAATTCTCTCCACTGGGAGAACCCTCATGGTCCAAATAGTATTTACTTGATCATAGTAGAAGTCAGGTCTTCACACATTTGTATTACTGGGGATTAAGCAGCTTCTCCAGGTGTTATGTGTCACTCTGTCTGAAAAAAGTAATAATTTGTATTCTAGCTGGAAGTCAGTGATAAGAGTCAAAGAATCAAAATGTGTGATAAGGAATTTTACAATGATCATAGCAAAATGTCTCAGAAAAACCATCTGTGTATTGAAAGCAGATTAACAATGATGTACAGTGCAGCTTCCTTTACTCTTGCATTCTTCTACTCATAAGACAATGACTGTAACTTGTTTAGAGTGCATCCACCAATGTTAGCAGTGGGTAGTAATGATACTAACACCAGTGCTGGAGGAAAAGTTCAAATACATGAACACAATGAAGCAAACAGGTGTGTCTGTAATTTTATCCCTACTAGTCAGAGTCATAACCATATTTGCCAGCTTCACAGAATAAGGACTGTGACTTCAGCTTTCTTCTGACAACACCTTTCCACCTGGAAACTAGTTTTCATTGTGTTATTTAGAGTACAATTATTTCTTTTTGTTTCAGTAAATGATTGCTGTTAAAAGTAGTTATGTTATGTAGGAGGGCTTAAATATGATTTGAGCCCAACTCAGAATCATTTTAGCAGTGAGGGTTAGAGTGACTTTGAGAAGGGCCCAAAAAATATTTATGCTCAAGAACATAAACTCTTTTACTATTAAAAAAAAAAACAAAAAAAAATGATAGCTTATCAGTCTGGCAAATCTCAAATCTCTATTGTAGCCCACAAAATGCACTGCAATGCATGGGAAAGTGATAATAACAATTATTTTAAACCTTAATCAAATATTTTTACTTTTGAATTTATTAAATTGCTAGTTTGAAACTGAATGTTTTTTGTGAATCCAAACCTACAGAAAGTGGCACAGATTAGAAACACTAATGGCAATAACAGATGCTGTTCATGATGTGGCCTTTGCTCCAAATTTAGGAAGGTAAATCATCTTTCTTTTCTCGGATTGTTAATGCTCCAACAAGCTCCCTATCTACTGCTTCAATTTTCAACTTTTCCTTAGTAAGACCATCCTCCTCTCTCCTCAGACAAAAACATCTTAGTTTAGTGAAAACACAGGAATAAACAGTATGCTGTAGTGTTGCTGTGCAAAAAGTTAATTTGTTGGATTACTTATTTGGGTTACATTACATTACATTTCCAGTACTTCTTTGCTGTTTTAGAAATCCTGTTGTTGACTTTGTTTCAGCTATGTGTTTCTAAGATTTTCACTCAGAAAACTGCATACTTTACAGTCCCATTGATCATTTTCTTGCATGACAGCCTTATTGTCAATATTGTCAGTTTGATACATAAATAAAAGATCTTAATAATGCCCATTGTTTTTTTGTTTTTTTGTTTTTTTGGTGTTGTTATTTTGTAGGTCATATCATCTTTTAGCCATTGCTTCAAAGGATGTTCGTATTATGATGCTCAAACCTTACAGGTGAGATCACCAGTATAAAAATTGTAGAGATTCTTAAGAGCTCATCTGTTCATTATACTCTCCCTGGTGATTCAACTCTTGTCAGTAGAATACTTTGTTTTCATTCTGCAAACCAATAGAGAGCAAGGAACAGGAGCTGGAGCAAGTTTGGCTAAACTTGATATCAGTCTGGCAGCACAGTTTAATGATCATGACTCTCAGGTAAGACTTCAAATACATTAAATCAGTAAATAGAACTTTTGTGATCAGTTACATTCTGCATGTTAACATATAGCTAAAAATCAAATAACCTATCAAATTTGCTGTAGGTTTGGAGAGTTGAGTGGAATATAACAGGCACAATATTGGCTTCCTCTGGAGATGATGGCTGTGTACGTTTATGGAAAGGTAATGTAATGAACAAGGAGTTTTTGATTACTTAATTCATTCTTTGTTTTAATGAGAATTTAAATAAAGGGAATGTGATTGAAACAATTTTAATGTTGATTCTTGGGATGCTTTCTACTGAGGCAAACTTTGTAGTTTGACTAAATGAATACTGATATGAAGGGAACACTTGAACACTAATCTTTAGCAGTGCCACACATTATGTACAAGGTTGATCAACCTTAATTCTTATACAATCTTTTTTCCTATTAGCCAACTATCTTAACAACTGGAAGTGTATAACAGTTTTACGTGGAGATGGTACCTCAGGTCCCATGAGTGGCCCCAGTATGAGTGGTTCAATTATGAATGGGCAGGATCCAAAGACAAGTCCGGCTGCATTCAAATCACAGACTTCCTGGTACACATGATAACACAACATTCTTTGTCCTCCAGGGACACTTTTTCTACCTATCTGAAGACATTTTGATCAACACCTCCAGCAGTTAATAAAAGTAACAAAGAATCAGCTGAGATATGTGCTAATCAGATGTCTTGATAAAAAAATAAAAACATTTGTTTTGTTTTTGTTTTTTTCATAAAGAATTAGAGAACAGGTCTGGTTCGGTTGTTTAAAGGGTATGCTGGATAAATCCCTATCTAGTGGATAGCACAGTACGTTTTCTTAATAATTATTTACTGGATAGTGATTTATCCATTGATTACTTCCTGTATACAACTGGACCCTGATTAAGTTATTTTTTTAAGCAGATGCCTCTTGATATGGATAGATCTTAGGATATAGATGACCTGCAGCTTTCTAATTTAACTTCACAATTATAAAAATTCTGTAATTCTGCTGTATCATTTGCTATGTATTCTCAGCAGTTTACATTACAGTATTGCCTAGTCATAAGCCTCTTTTTTGTTGTTCACTTTTAAAATCTGTACTTGGCATTGCACCTCCTGCTATGAAAAATCCTGGTTCCCCTCCTGGGAATGGACATAAGATTTTTTTTGTTTAAACTCAAGTCCAACTCTACATTTATGGATGAGTCAGATCAACAAAAAACTTTTAATCACTATCATCTATGATTTTTTTTGTTGGTATTATGCTAATCTACAAGTAGTTGTTCTATACACATGTTACTGTTCATAAATTTTACATTTTGAAATGCATGGTGATATGCAATAACTGCTATTTTGGGAAACACTTAGTTGGCTAAAATAAAATAGAAGTTATTGACTCTGGTTGGCTAATCATGTTCTCCTAATCAGTGTATCTATGCAGTATACCTGTTTGCAGTACAGATTGCCATTAATTATTGTTGAAGTCCTTTTTACTATCAAGGAAAAGAGTTTATTCAGAGTTATGTAAGCTGCAGTGTTTTAAGGATACCTAGTATCTGAGCTTTCTTTTATTTTCCTTTGAGGAACACACCTATCTTGGTAAATAAACACTGAATTGATATATACTTAACAAGTCTGAGTAGCTGTTTATAAGTAGGCTAACTGCATCAGACTATGGATGCAGCTAAATTGAGTCAGACCTCACATAAAAACATTAAGGCTTTTCATGTCATTAGTACCAACAACAGAAATTATTTCACCTTTATTGAAAAAAACAACCACCATTTTTAGACAGGAAAGAAATAAATTCAAGAGTAATAGGTTCACATTTCCAACATCCAGAGGACACTCTAAAGTTTGGTCCCAATGGGTTTACTGGTAAAGTCATGTTCGTATCTCTTTACATTAAGCAGAAAGTCACACACACAAACCAAAATGAATCCCTTGAAAAGGACTTGTAAAACTAGGTAATTCCTGTATCACATTGATTCAAAATCACAGAGAAGGACTTCTTCAACAAGATTACAAATCACGAAAAAATAAAATTTGCAGTCACCTTGTTTCATAAAAAAATCATTTGACCCATAAAGGCTTGAATCAAGTTTACAAGACCCTCAAGGTTTTTTTCCCAATGTATGCCACAGCAAATTTTCTTTTTAAAAATAAATCTAAAAAATCTCTAAGCTGACACAGCCAATGTAAAAGCTTGACTTCTACTAGGCAAAAATTAATACTGATACTTTCCAGGATAAATCATAAAATTTCTGTTTCATATCTGTACAGTAACAGTGAGACTAATTTTAAATTAACCCTTAACTCCCATGAATGACCAAGAAAGAATTTCTCCGTACAATATAAATACAATATCAACTACAAAAGAGCTGAGAATAAAGAAAAATATCAATTTGGGGATAATTAGTTGATCCAATACTAAATTCTCTAACTAACATTATAAGAATTATCTGGCTGACAATAAATTTGATCTGGGAGTTAAAGGGTTAAATTATATTTTTGGAAGGCTGTAAATTGAGTGGGACCCTACAGGATAAATGCTATCATAGTTGTATTTGATTTAATTTACATATGCTACTAATGTTTTAACCCTTAAGAACACTGGAGATATTTTCTTTCTCTGTGACAACAATTTCTTGTTAAAATGTTGCAATGTACTTCTTCAGTGATGCAGTAATGGGGAGTGATTCCAAATCTTCCTGTTTTGTTACACATTTCCTGATGTTTTCACAGCACAAATCAAGAAGTGGTGGCACTAAAGTGAAAAAAGTATGTTAGCTCACATCCATAGCTCTTAAACAACTTCCCCACCGTCACTAAAGTCAAACCTGTTTTTCCCCTTTACTACTGTAATTTCAACCTCTGTTAAGCTGTCATAGTCACCCTCCACAGAGTCCCAATGGCCTATTGTATTTTATTTCACCTGTAGTTAAACATTGTTTAAAGTGGAACCACTCCAATAAAACTAAGAATAATCTCTCATTCCCCAAGTAAAATTTGTTCATACCAGTTGAATCTTTGCAACCTGTTGCATAGACAATATTCTATCACAAGACCAAAGTTTTTACTTAAATTTTCTTCATGTCACGTAAAGCAAGGCAACTTACCTTGACACTTATCAGATGTGTCAGGCTCTCAATTATTATCACTTTGTCAGGCATTATGGCACATTCTCAGGCTTAACTAGAGGTATTTGTGGGCTTAAGTGTATTTCAGCCCACCGTACCCCCCCCCCCCCCACCACAATCGTGTGACTGATCAGACTGTTTTGTTGTCACTTTTTCCACTTCTCTTTTTTCTCAGTGCTCTCCAAAGTAATAATAAGAGTAATACAGTTTATGTTTGTGGGCATGATTGTGTTTTGGGCCCTTATCAGAGTCATTTTAACCCTTGCCTAGCAGCTGGAGCTTAATTCACTCTATGACATGAACTCTTGTTTTATTACATATTAAGTTCAAATACACATATATGATAAATTAAAGAGGATTGCAATCAACCTTGAAACAACTAGAGCCACATGGAGAGAGCTGGAGAAAAATTCTCATCTCCTTACTGCCTCCTCCCCTCATACACAAAGTATCCCTGGGGGAAGTAGAGATCACTTTTCCCTCTACCCTTGCAAAGTTATTTTTTATATCATACTAACCTCCACATTGAATGATTTGAACTCGTTTTGTAGTTCCGTACACGTCGACAGCCACATAAAGATCCCTGTCAACAGGTACATCAAGGGCACAGGGGCCAAATTTTATACCATTTACAAAGAAGTACAGTTCCCCGGTCGGACTGACTTTCACTCCAATTCGCGAGCCAACATCTGTTGGTTTTAATTTCCCTTCTCTCGCTTTTTTACCGCAAAACACCGGGTTATCGTCTTTATCTCCTGCCTCTTGGCGTTGAAAATTGTGGCCACCGTAATCTTTCAGCTGTTCATCACCCAAAGGTTTTTGCATCGTCGATTTGATTGCAAACACCCAAGTACGCCCCATTTGGGCCATGTCAGGAAGAAGATACGGTGGAACACTTTTAATTGAAGATGGATTGTGAGTTGTGATCCCACAGCGGACATGACCTGACCAGTCCTTTTCCTGTTCTTCTATCTCAAAAAGGAACGTTTCACCAAATGCTAAGGGGCGATGACTAAATACAACCGCGTTCGCGAAGCTCTTGACTCTGGTGGCGGATGTCTTCGACGGTGACAACCGAACATGAGTTCCATGTCTGTCGTGAAATCGCATCATTTTTACAAATAACTTTAGATATCTTTTGCTAACCTTCCAGCATCATACGCTTTAAAGAGTGTTCAGAACAGTTCCAATTGCGATGAAGCATCATTATAAAAGCATAAAACTTTGGCAAGTAGTATCAACAATGCGAATAGTGCAATGTTTTGCTCGAATGCTTTCAGCGGCTGCTCGTTTTAGAGCACCGTCATCATGTAAGTCTGGCCACTCTAAGATGGCGCGCAGCTTGTTTGGACTGCGAAAGTTAGCGTTTCGCCCGTCTTTCTTCCGTTTGTCAGCTTTAAGACCCATCCATACAGGAACTATGAGTTTAGGAAATCTGGAGAAAGAATTTAATTCAGCAAGTGAAAGGACAAAGACTCTAAAACAAGATCCAGGGAATGATCACAAACTGAAGTTGTATGCCTTGTTCAAACAGGTAAATTACTCTACTGACTACACAGCTTAATCGAGTTAGATTTCTATGCTAGACTTTTAATTCCTCTGAATTGTTTAAAAATATTAGAGACGTATAGTCAAATTGAAGAAGTTTTTAACCTCATCCTGGGGAGTTTTTTGTATCCTGTTACCTGTCTACAAGGTAATGATAGTGGCCCTGTTGATCTCAGGAGTGACCAAAAAGGAACTTCTCCTTACAATATCTATATTTTTAAGTAGAGAGGTTAGGTGAAGAAAAATTGTTCTTGTGTGATTTAACTTCAAATTCACAAAGCTAAAATTATGAGTAATGAAGATGAGAGGATTCTTCAGGGTGATGAATGTTATTAAAGCACTGTGGTGAAATTAAAGCCTGAAAATAAACCCTTTATTTTCAATACTGCTCAAGTAGTGTTCATTACTACAAAATTCATTCTTAATTCATCTCTCAATATTCACTCTCATCCTGCCTGTGGCTGCCCATGAGCGCTGTCCATTGCCTATTCTACAGGTTAAAACAAAATTTGCCAAATTTTCAACATTTCGTGGTCATATGATAAACTGCTCATTGACTGAGTTTGTTTGGACTGGATAGGAAAATATTTGGCTCTCAGTCATGGTGCACAGACCTTGCTACACTCGCTACTTCATGACCTCATGCCAAATATTTTCCCATCTGGTCTTCTCACTCAGTCAATAAGTATGTTATCTGTCAGAGTGGGTTATCATCCCAGTCCTTTTTTTCCTTGTATACATGTACTGTAATGATTTTATGTAGCATCTAAAGGGCTTATTTACTTTTGGTACAACTCACACGCCAACTCACATGCCAAACAACTTACATTCCATCATGTATCATCATGATAACAAAGTCCAAAGTCCAATTAGAACATACCTAATCATTGCACTACATGAACAATGGGCAATTTTTAATGTGCTTGAATTGTATTCCACCAATCAAATTCCACTTTGCCACATTGGACTTCACCCTATCACATGTTATTTTCCTGCATTTCTTTATATATTCCAACTGCATTGTCCAACTCCACTGAAAAAAATTCACATGGAACTTAATACTACTGATATTGGGTTTTCCACACAATTCTCCCACATTTAACTTTTTCTATCAATTAAAGTCACTTTAAGCTACCTTGGACTTAAGCCAATTGTGTGTTAATTCCTTGTAAACAGCCTGCATTTTATCACGCATTTCACATACAGAGGAGGGCAAAGTCCAATCACCAACCACCAATGAAGGAGCCCTCTTTGAAATATTATCCTTTTCTCTTGTTCAATGTATCTTCACTTATTTGAGATCACAGTACATCTTTGGTTAGGGTCTATTAGAGGTACAACAGAGTTTCAGTTTGCTTTTCATAGTAAAATTATATATGCAGAATTATATTTTTGAGGTAACTAATTAACTAATAATTTTGATTTTCTCTCTGTTGGAGGAACGGTAGTAAGCGTAGTCTCTTTGGCAACTGTTATTTGGTCTTGTCATGCAATGCACTCTCTCTCAAAAGGGAAATAGAGGGTGTTGTGTGAGGAGACCAAACAACAGGTGCAAAGGAGACAAAAGTAAGAATGGCACCATTGCATTTCATTTTAACTTAGAAGTATTTAGACAATAGAGACAGTGGATCATTTAATATCTGGGTGAGTTCAGATAAATTAGGTTTTTTCCTAGTCTTTCTGTGATATTTTTGTTTTTTGAAAGTTATGCTCTTTTTGGTGACAAAAAAAAAAACATTAAGTGTACAAATTGTCCCATCTCAACACACTCAGCGAAAAAAGTAACTTGTGCATGCCACGCATGCCTGTTTTAGTTATTGTTTATATATACATAGTTCAAGTCTTTTCAGATTTCATGCAAAATTTTTCTTTTTCTTTCCAGGGCAGTATCGGAAAATGCAACTCTCCCAAGCCAGGAGCATTTGATTTTGTTGGCAAAGCAAAGTGGACAGCATGGAATGATCTTGGTGATCTTTCAAAGGTTGATTAAAGTGCCTGCTTTTCACTCTTCAATTTATGAGACTATTGCTATTCATAGAAAGAATTGGTGGGAAACTGCTTTATATTGTTTTAAGACCATTTTTTCCCAACCTGATTCTCCTCATTTTGTCCATGCACCCTAAAATATTGTATATGTAATAACGCCATAGAAAGCTTGAGTGTATAATCAGGTAGAAACTTTGAAATAGAGCTCAAAAGAAATCAATAAATGAAGAAAAGGAGTACATTTCTAAAGAAACTGTCGTGCTGCATCTGCAAGGGGTATTTCAAGATGATTTGCTTTTTTCAACTGACTCGATTATGTAAATTTGCTCTATTTGTTCTGATAAAGGCTAACACTCAAAACATCAGTATTATAGAAACTCTCTACGATAGTTAATTTGCATTATAAACACAATTAATAAAACTTGATAATCTCACAAAAGAAATCAGTCCACCAGGAATCAAACAGAACAAGAATCAAAGAAATATCAAGAACATGAGCCTTTTTCTCAAACTATACATTGGCTAATTTCCCTTGATCAAAAGTCTATATTTGAAATGAATCAACAACTTCAAAGCATTTCAACTGTCCCAATACATTACTTAATTGATAGTTGTTAAATGGATTTCCAGAAAACTGCTTTTATGGAAGTTATGTTCACTCAAGTATCACTTGATGTTGACAGGACTAAACAAGAATTGTCTTATAGGGACACATCCATGACAAAAATAGCACTGAAAAAACTCAAATTAGGCAGCTACTGCTACATTAAGTACATCCTACACACTTTAATTTTGTGGATGACATTATTTTTACCTGTCTAAGTTTTTTTTTATCTAGCTCAGTGGCTGTTACTTAATCTATTTCCATTGACTTTATTTTCAGGCTGATGCACAACAAAAGTATGTAGATTATGTTAATGACCTTGCAGGTGAAAAATTTATTTTTATTTTCAACATTTACTATTTTGGTGTCTTTTTGATGACCTTTTTATGTGATACACCAAATATTTAGCATCTTAACCCACAAAATTGGATTGTTCTAGAGTTGTAATTCTGTCCTTTTTCTTTATGCCACAGTGATAGTCAAATGTTTTAAAATTTCATTACCATAATCAGGGTTAGATTTATGAATCCTTTTTTCCTGACACAGGATGCATCATTATGTTGCTTCTCCTAGTACCAGTTGTAGACATTATAAAATGTAGTATAATGCCTAGCTCTCCATAAAGTTCTCTCAGTCACCAAAGCATCATACAGCAAAATGGGAAATATTTGATGTTAAAATTGTGTTGGGGAATCAGATTTTTATTCCTTTGCTCTGGACAGATGTATAAACTATTTTGTTGGAATATTTCAGCACAATTTGGCACAACTGATGAAGATTTAAAGTCTCCAAATCCTCAGAATAACCCATCAGTTGAGGTGGAGAGTAAATACAAAGAACTAGTGGTGACATTGGAGAATGGAGTGCTGACAATAAAAATGAACAGGCCTACAAAATATAATGCCATAACCTGGGAGGTGCATCTTATTTTGTTTATTCCTTTTTTTTCAATCTTTATTTATTGGCAGTATGTAAACAGGCTGGCCCTGTTTAGCCTGTGTTAACAATCTAAATTCAATAAAAATAAGTATAGAAATATGGAAAACAAAAATGAACCCACAACACAAATTACAATATACACATACAATATATGTTACATTTCATTCATCACAGAAATAAATTTTGAGAAGTTTTTTAAATTTTAGGAGAGAAATTACAATTCCTGATTTATTTGTTAGAGTATTTCATACTTTTGCACCATTGCAGCACTATTGTGGACAGTTCTCATAAATTAATAAGTGCTAGACAATGACACAACCACAAAATTCTATGTAAACTTTTCAGAACCAAAGGGAAAATTTCCTGCTAAAATTAAGTTATGTTTGACTACTGTTGATAACAATCAATATCTCAGTCTTGTTGCCCAGATACCTTAACGTAGTTGGCTGGAGACATTTTCATTTCTCTAGCTGGGCATTCTTAGATTTTTGTGTTTGGGTTTTGTTGTACACGAATCTCATACAATCAGTTTCCCATATTTGAATTGTACAGCTGTTCAAAGTTTTAGAATACATATGGCCGTCTTGATCTTGTCTCTACTGTTTTCTGGACTGTTGGTAAACACACTACAGGCATGATCCAGGACCTTCTCTAAATTTTGTATTTATTTAATTCGGGTTTCACAATTATTTCATAAACTATTTTGTGTTACTCTGAGTATCACCAGGGATCACAGTGGCCTAATCATTATACCCTGGGTGGAGAGGGTAGGGTTTGAGAAACAGCAGCCAGTGTGTTGTGTTCACAGACAAGACCCCATACTGTGTCCTCCATATATGTGAACTAAGTTAATTAACTAGGATAACTTTTTTTGCTATTATCTTAAAAAGATGTACCAAGAATTAATGACTGCTTTGGATGAAGCTGGGAAAAATGATGCTTGTGTGGTAGCTGTGTTGACTGGATCTGGAGAATATTACTGCAGTGGAAATGACCTGGGAAACTTTACCAGAATTCCACCTGAGGGTCCTCAAAAAATGGCAAACGATATTTTTTTTTTTTTTTTTTTTTTTTTTTTTTTTTTTTTTCAGTCACCTTTAAATAATTGTGAAATTAGACCTTAATTGTCTTCCATTGATGCAATACATATTTACTTATCTTACTACACACTAATCTTACTTGTACATGCAAATCAAGTATTACTTTTTGTTGTTACCATTATGACAGGAACTTTGTACAACACTTCATAGACTTCCCTAAGCCTCTGATTGCTGCAGTCAATGGACCTGCTGTGGGGATATCTGTAACAGTCATGGGCCTGTTTGACTTAATCTATGCATCAGATAAAGCTACATTTCACACACCTTTTATGGAGCTGGGACAAAGCCCTGAGGGGTGTTCCTCATTTATGTTCCCTAGGATAATGGGACCTGCAAAGGTACATTGACTTGCCTCTAATTTCTGTTGCAACCTTTGTATAACTTGTTGAAGTATAGAGCCTATTTCAAGTTATTGTCGTAATATGTGAAATTACATCATGAATTCTTCTTCTTCTTTAGTCCAATGAAATGTTGCTTGCTGGACGCAAACTGACAGCAGTTGAAGCAAGAGACTGTGGGTTGGTTACAGATGTTTTCCCCCATGACAAGTTCACAGAAGAAGTTCAGAACAGAATACAAGCAATGGCCATGCTGCCCCCTAAGGTGGAAAATTGCATTGTAGAATTTCAAAGCAGGGTGCTCCCTACAATTGAGTCGCTATAGCATTTGGAGACATGCTGGTCAAAGGCAGGGGAGGGGGGGGGGAAGGGGGTGATTTGTAATCTCTTAGGGATAATCTCATCCATATGGCTTCTCTCAATAAATGGTTGAAAGAAGCCTGAGAGTAAAACTTCAGTGTTCCTATGTGTATTCCCTTCAGCCTGAAAATAATAAAAGGCATCCTGCTTTACTCAAGTGTTATTTTAACATATTATCATAGTGGTGAATACAGGAGAGGAGTTTTCCCATATTTTATTTATCAATACTAATATTTATCATGATCATTTATATTTAACTGTAGACGGTCGGAGCTTTGAGTTAAGCATTATTTTAGACGACCAATCAATGTTTTATACTATCCTTCAAAAGGTGATTCTTTCTTTTTTGTTCACTTTACAGTCTCTGCTGTTGTCCAAGCAGTTAATACGTGATTCATTCCGCGATTTGTTACATGAAGCCAACGAAAAGGAGTGTGCTTTACTTGAAGAACGCTGGCTTTCAGAAGAGTGTATGCAGGCGGTTATGGCTTTCATGCAGAGAAAGTCCAAATTGTAGCCCAGCTTTCATTTCCTTGCCGCATTTAATTTAAGGCTTTATCGAACTAAAACACGATGAACTGCAGAGGTTAAAGTTTTATTGTTTCTTTCTATCACCCAATCAAGTGGTCTCATTCGCGGCGGATTTTGTTTCGAGGGAGGGAAGGGGGGATGTCGTTGAAGCAAAAGGACTGCGAAGGAGATTAATCAAGTGGCAACGGAACAAACAAACTGTCACGTGATAGAAGCGTGGGACGTTTATCACATTGGCCGATGTTAAGGATTTTTTAAATGTTAAATTCGCTCTTCGCAAATAATTCAATCGTTAATCAGTCAATAGTTATTGATCTTATTTTACTGGTACTATGTTTATTCAAGGAAAAATAATTAAATGAAATTGTTGAAACTGAAAATTGTCGGCGTTCTTGTATCACTTACTTACTTCAGGCAGTTTACCTGTATTTATTCAGACGCATGAAGACCAAGCGAGCGCGTTGCAGGGACAGTAGGCATCCTGGTTTAAAACACGAAGTGGACTGAGGCATTAACATCAGAAAACCCAGGGGCACAAAGAAACAAAGTGTTGTGGTGAAAAAAGGATTGAATGCAAGCTATGAAAAACTTAACGTACACCTTTTTTCAAAATTGCACAAAAAAAAGTGAGCTCAAACTAACAAGGACAACACTCAAAAAGAGACTATAAAATTTTCACTCGTCGGATAAGAAACTTGACCGCGGAAGGAAATAACTGCTTGAGTTGTATAGAATTGACTTGCATTTCAGGTTATACTCAACAACATTGATGATAGAAAAATCGTAAAAACAGAGTTGATTTCTCATTTGAACGAAAATGCAAAAAAAACAAAATTGCCCAACGCATCTTCTCTCAAATCTAACGAGAAAAAGACTGATTGATACGCTTGAGCGGAGCTTGGCCGTATAATTGAATTTTTTGCCTCGTGGAATTAGCCCGATCTGAATAGATTTGCGGTTAGTACTAGGCCCCTAACCCTTTTTCCTAAACCCTAACCCAATGATACAAATTTCGCTATCGTTTCCCTCACATATTCTCTTTAACAATTGTACAGGTTCGCTCCCAGCTTAAAGAGGGTCTAAAGACAATTTTAGTGACAATTTTTATCACCTTTAAAAAGGGGAGGGGTGGTATAAGTGAAGGATTTTTGAAGGATCACATGGTTTTCAGGGTGATGGTAGCTCTTAGGAAGCTGTTTATCTGATCTCTTTCTATACATTTTCGGATAGATGACCTCTTCGTTTAAAGTTGAGCAAGTAATCGGTGAGTTTTCGGTTCAGAAATGCAAGGAGCCTCCACCAAAGAACAAAGGACGTGCCAACGTATTTCGAGACCCTGACACCAACCGTGATCGTGATAAGATGAGAACATTGATCGAAACAGGGCAGTATTTTCACGACGCAGTCGAGAATAATTTGATTTGCATTAGTTTTGCTTCACTAAGCCGCTTTGGTATTAGTTAGGAAAACTCACACAACCCTCGTAAATAATCAGATGCAAAACCTCAACCAATCGTAACTTGAATCAGCCAAAGGTCACAATTTCCCTTCCAAACAATTACCACCCAGATCAAATGTCCACATTTAGCAACTCAGAATTTAGTCTTCAACCTTAAAAATAAGCTACATCGGTATAATGAGTTTCTCTTCAGGGCCTCAGCAGCGACATTAACAGAAAAGGAGAAGAGGAAGGGGGGGAATGAGCACGTGGGGGAGGGGATGGAAAGAAACGAGGTCCCGTATATTGCCACATATGTAGATATCAATATCCGTCTCAGTTTCTGACAACTGTTTTTTATGTAGAACAATGACATGCATCAATACTCCATTGTCTTTTCGACAGATAAAAGTTTCCAAAAACCACACGCGTTAAACCTCAAAATAAATAATATCTCAGACGTTGGAGCACAGCACTTGGCTGAAGCCATCAACGACAAGAACTGTCAGCTACGCAAGTTAAACCTCTCATTCAATCATCACATCAGAAAACCAGGTAAGCTAAGGGCTCATAATTTACTGAGCAAGTGTATGCTAATTCTTTAGAGAAGAAAAGCCCTTCCCATGTACGTAGAAAACCTCGAAATAGATAACTCGCTAAAATGGGTTCCCTTCAACGTGGTAAGCGGTCAGATAGCAAGCAACGCACTTTGGAAGTAAGGTGAGGTATTTTTTGTGAGAATTTGACTTATTTTATTATTCCTTAAAGCGGTCGTAAATATTCCTATACAAACTTCTCTAGTTTCGCCATGACTGTCATTTCGTAAGATGATCATCTTTAGAGCTTGGGCCGCCTGTGATGAAAGCAAACTAAACCTGTGAAGCGCTAAAAGCAGCGAGATTATTTGAACCAGATCGAAATGAAGAAAAACGAACCACTGAAGATGTTTATCGAGAACAAAAGATATCAAACTTTTTTTTTGTATAAATGAACCAATAACATTGACGTGAAAACACAAACCTTCCTTCAGAGAAAACAAACCAACCTTGGACCTCTCAGGAAACTTTGTCAGTTTATGATTGATTAGTTTAGCTTAGTTTCGATCCTAAATTCTCTCTGTGCTTCTGTATGGTTTGATCGTTCGAGGTATTGTCTTAGATTTTAAGCGGGTAAGATGAGTGTACACACCACAGATTGCTTGGTATAATACCAGGGTTTTTTTAATTGTTCGTGTTTTCTATATCTTTTTTTCCTTTGAAAAGAACTGGTTCAAGTAGTTTCATACTTCTGGCAAAATATTGAAAAAAAAATTGTAACCAAATTGTAACTAAAATCGTCGCGCTCTCAAAGACAGAAGGCCTTTTTGTTGGTTATAGTTACATGAAATCAATGTTGCATATTTCCTTGAGCAGGTTCCTGGCCAGTTTAAGGACACCTATTAACCTTTTTAACGCAAGATTTATGAAATCAGTGCACCTCAGCACACACACAAATTAAACAACAGAAAAGAAATCAGAGAAAAGAAATGAATCGTACATGTAAAAAAAAATGAGAAGAGGAGGCAAGGAAACCTTACAAAGATTTCCACTTGTTGCAGCTACAAAAAACATAAGACTTCAGACTTCCTCTCATTTTTTTCAACACTTTCATTCCCAGTTTTCATGATTTTTGCAGGAATTTAAAATTAGAATGTAACTTTCCAATGTTTTTCCTTTTTGGAATATCGAAATGTTATTTTATTCTTCCTGCCTCATCCCATTATTTCCTTTTACACTGAACTTCCCTACCCACTAAAAATTTACAGTACCATTAATGAATAAATGGCATGAATTGAAGAATCCCTTTTAAATTACTGAGTAAGTAAAAGAAACGAAAGCAAAACATGCTATAGTATGTTTAATGTGTTGAGTTAACTTGAGGCTCTCTAGTCTCATGTATTGAGTGCAAGACTCGTGCAAACAAATTCAATTTTTCACTCTCATGCTTAAGTCATTATTTCTCACTCCTTTAAGGTTTCAAATTTATTTGGTTGATTTTGCGATAGCAAACTGCTGCTCTCACTAAGTACCGTTAAAATTAATTATCCTTCCAAATTTAATTTACTCATTTCCTGTTAAATTGCTTCACACACTTTCCAATAGCAGAATTCTCTCTCAGATTAAAGGAATGTTCTTCTTTGCTATTTTATTTTTTCATAATTTTCAGGGGGAACATGCCCCCATACCCTCTTCCCCCTCCCACCCTTGATAGGTGATGCCCGTGACATCTCACTCTTTGCTAGCGAATGGACTTAAGAGCTCTGGTTGACTAATTGTAATCAATTTCTACCACATATGTCTCTTAAAATAACATCTCATCAAAAGGGAAAGCACCTCATCATTAAACAGCAAAAGACAAACTGCAGTGCAATACAAAGCAAGTCATAACATTTCACTTTCTAGAAAAATATACAGGAAGGTTTTCAGTCAATCAGTGAATTTTGCATTAAGTCTTAGAAGAAAAAGGGAGACTTTTCTCTCTAGCCCCCATCTACCCTAATTTATCCATGTTCTACCACGTTAACCCACATCTACCCTAAGCTAACCATGTTCTATCACGTTCACCCACATCTTCCTCAAATTAACCATGTTCTATCACGTTAACCCACATCTAACCTAAGTTAGCCATGTTCTACCACGTTAACCCACATCTAACCTAAGTTAGCCATGTTCTATCAAGTTAACCCACATCTAACCTAAGTTAGCCATGTTCTATCACGTTAACCCACATCTAACCTAAGTTAGCCATGTTCTACCACGTTAACTCACATCTACCCTAAGTTAACCATATTCAACCACTTTTATCCACATCTACCCTAAGCTAACCATGTTCTACCACGTTAACCCCCATCTTCCCTACGTTAACCATGCTCTACCACGTTAACTCACATCCACCCCAAGTTAGCCGTGTTCTGCCACGTTAACCCCCATCTATCCTTAGTTAACCATGTTCTAACACGTTAACCCCCATCTACCCTTCGTTAGGCGCGTTGTATCCCGTTAACCCACGTCTACCCTAAGTTAACCATGTTCTACCACGTTAACCCGCATGTACCATAAGTTAACCATATTCTACCACGTTAACCCACATCTACCATAAATTAACCATGTTCTACCACGGTAACCCACAATTACCCTTAGTTAACCATGTCCTACCACGTTAACCTACATCTACCCTTAGTTAACCACGTTCTACCACGTTAACCCCCATCTACCCTAAGTTAACCACGTTGTACCACGTTAACCCACATTTGCCCTTAGTTAACCATCTCCACCACGTTAACCCACATCTACCCTTAGTTAACCATGTTCCACCACGTTAACCCACATCTACCCTTAGTTAACAATGTTCTATCACGTTAACCCAAATCTATCCTTAGTTAACCATGTTCTACCACGTAAACCCACATCTACCCTTAGTTAACCATGTCCTACCACATTAACCCACATTTACCCTTAGTTAACAATGTTCTACCACGTTAAACTCCATTTACTCTAAGTTAGCCATGTTGTACCACGTTAACCCACATCTACCCTAAGTTAACCATGTTCTACCACGTTAACCCACATGTACCCTTAGTTAACCATGTTCTACCACGTTAAACTCCATCTACTCTAAGTTAGCCATGATCTACCACGTAAACCCACATCTACCCTAGGTTAACCAGTTGCCTTGAATGTTTGGTAGTTCATACTTAAATTTATTTTCTCCGAGACTATAAGCTTGTAGCAAAGATTTAACAAGTCCGTTGTAATCTATGTTGTGAAATGTTATGTTTCTCTTTGTCACTTCTGTCACAAACCTGTCTGTATCAGGAAGGGCGAAGGACAAATTACTCCAGTTGAGGAGCTTCCCGCGAAGAGTCCGCAGAAAGACCGCAACAGGTACTTAGTGAGCTAAAAT